CAGAGGTTGAGCGCTGGGCTGCTAAGCTGCCTGCAGCCTCTGCAGCTCTGGTTCGATCCCCAGCTGCCGGTGAGGGTCCCACATGGCACGACAGACCTCTCCTGCCGAGCCCGCTGCTCCCCTCAGCAGTGTGTTTTGTCAATCTGCCTGTTCTCTTCCCCACTCTGGCTCTGGTGAATTCTCTCACCCTCCCGTGCTTCTGACTAAACCCAGTGCTTGTATAAATAAATAAATAAATCTTAAAAAAAAAAAAGAAAGCCTTTGATTATAAATTGGCTCCCAAATTATACCAGCGGGATATATGCTTGTATAAATAAATAAATAAATCTAAAAAAAAAAAAAAGATTTCATTTGATTCTACTTTCACAAGTTATTGGAAAGTAAAAGAAGAAAAGAAAACCTTTTACATTTTCTGAAACTATGCTGTCATTTGATATTTTTTATGTAATTCTAAAAAAGTGATATGAATTCCAAGCTGAGCTGTGAGATTTTATTTTCATGAAGGCTGAAGTTTGTATGATTTTAAAATATGACAATATTTACAGTTTAATTTCTTATTTTACATATGGAAGCATTTGATAATTTTTAATGTGTTAGGGAGGGACTTCTGCTTTCTGCCATGAGGGACTAACAGGATACAGGCTGTGCCTTCTGCTGTAAACAGAGAACTTGACACAGTATATGAAATAACTGTGTACAGACACTAGAAAATGGGACATAACCGTGCTTCCAGGAAAGTGGAGGGAAACAAACAAGTAAACCCTAAAATCACTGAGACTTTCCTGGAGGTAATTTCCTGATTATTGTTCAGTGAGAAAGAATTCAAACAGAGCTTAGCCATTTTGCTAATTTAAAAAGATAAAAATTAGTTTAGGAGGCCAATGTAGCTAAAATTTATAATACAAGATAAGATGAGCAGTCTATGCAGAAGAAGATTGTAAGTCAGCATGCTCATTCCCTCCAAAACCTGACTATCAGCCTGCACGTGAGTAGGGTAGAGATCCTAAAAGTCCAGGTAAAGAACAATTGCTAGAGAGCTGGATCCCCAGAGCTTACACTGGAATTGCCCCAGTTTCCACATGTCACAGTGGGAATATTTTATTGATTAGATATGGAATTAAGTAGAGACTCCAGAAGGGTCACATTTTACTAATGAGGCTCAACTATTCCTAAAGTAGATATTTTTCTAGACTTGCGCTAAAAGGTTAATAACAAACTGAATCAAAAGTAGCTTAACTGACTGCAAGAACAAAGGTAATTACTTCCTCCAGAAAAGAAAAAAGCAGCATTCTCTAACTTCTATACACAATGTCCAACATCTAGTCAAAATTTTTAGATATGTGACAAAGTAAGAAAATGTGACACATTGCGAAAGAAAAATCAGACAATAGAAATAGACCCAGAAATCATACCAATGATAGAATTAACAGCCAAGAATATTAAAATAGCTACTATTAAGACATACTAGAGAATTTAAAAGAAAACATGAATATCATGAGAAGACAAAAGGTGATATGAAAAAGTAACAAAATGGAACTTATATACTGCAATAGAAAATATATGAGAGAATATTTTAATGACGTGACTAATAGTATATCAGACGTTACAGATCAGTAAACTTAAAAATGCTGCTATATAAAATAGCAAACGAGGCACATAGAGGGAAGAAACACTTAAAGAAATGAATGAACTCTCAGTGACATGCAGAGTACCACCAAGATTGTAATTATTGGAAGGGGATCTCCCTGGTGGCATAGAGGTTAAGTCTCAGGACTATCACCAATACAGCCTGAGTTCGATCCCCAGCCAGGGAGCTAACCCAGATATGGTACAACAGACCTCTCCTTTCTCACTACTGCTCCCCTCAGCAGTGTATTTCAGTAAATCCACCGGTTCTGTTCCCCACTCTGTCTCTGGTGAATTCTCTCACCCACCTTACCTCTGGCCTATACCCCAGTTCTATGCATAAATAAATAAATATTAAAAAAAAAATAAGTCCAATTGGAGACCCAATTGTACTTGGGTCAGAAAAAGTAATTAAGAAATAATGCCTAAAAAATTTCAGATGTAATACAATGTAACCCCAAATCCATAAAGTTCAACAATTCCCAAGGAAGATTAACATGAAGAACACATTATACTTAAATTGTTTAAAAAGAACTCCGATAAAAAAAATTCTTAATATCTGCTATAGAAAAAAGGTCTGTTGCATATATAGGAACAAAGAGCAGAGGAACAAAGTGAGAATTGCAGCAGACTTTTCATCAGAAACCATATGTGAGACAAGAAAGGAATAACATTTTTAAAGTGTTCAAAGAAAAAAATCAACGTAGAATTTTATTCCCAAGGACACTAGAAAGGCATATATTACCGAAAGAAATAAATTTCAAACTTTCAACTTAAACTCCCATACCAAGTGAAAACTTTTTTCAAAAATTATGTCAAAATAAACTTTTGAGTAAATAAAAGCTGAAAGAAGTCATAATTTTCAGGTCACCACTATAGTATTAGTAAAAAAACAAAAAGTTCTCCAGGAAAAAGAAAACTAATTACATCAAGCAGACATTTGGGTCTATCCAAAGTAATTAAAGCACCAGAAATTATGTGCAAAATTTTAATTCAAAATAGATTAGTTTTTAATTTTCTAACAAGAACTATAAAATACTCAGAAGAAAATGTTAGCCGTAAGTCCTTGGACATCAGTCTTAGAGACAACTTCGAGGATTCAATTCTAGCAGTAAGGGAAACAAAAGCAAAAACAAAATTAAGCTACATCAAACTAAAAATCTTCTTAGAGTGAAAGAAACCACCACAGAAATTACAAAAAGGCAGCCTACAAATTTCGAGAAGATAGTCACAACTAATTAACAGATGGAACAATGGATAAATACCCCAAATACACAATGAAGAACTCATCTAAATCAACAACCATAACCAAGCAGTCCAATCCAAAAATGGACAAAAAATGTGAACAGATGCTTTTCCAAAGACAACTAACCAACAGGCACATGAAAAAGTGATCCTCATCACTTATCAGGGAAATGGAAATCAAAACATCAAGGAGCTATCACCTCATAACTGAAAGAATGGCCTAGACAAAAAAAAAAAAAAAAGCCAAGAACAAGAAATGGTGACCAGTGTGTAGAGAAAAAAAGAACCCTACATTCCCACTGCTGGTGGGAATGTAAATTGGTGTCATCAATATGTAAAACAGCATGGATGCTCTTCAAAAAATTAAAAATAGATCTACCACATGATCCAGCATTTTCACTTATAGGTATCTAGTTGAAGAATATGAGAACACTAATTCAAAACTATGTGCCCACTTATGTCCATTGTAAGCTTATTCAAAATAATTAAGACATGACAACACCCTAGTGTCCCCTGAGGAATGACCACCTAAGGAAGGAGGTGATAGATATATATGTACATTGGAAGAGTACTCGGCTATATCTTAAAAAAAAAAAAAAAAGATAAAATCTCACCATTTCCTACAATATGGATCGACTGTGAGGTGATTATGCTAAGCAAAATAAATCAGAAGGAGAAAAAGAAATGCACATGATTTCACACATATAAATAATATAAATAAACAAAGCAAATGAACAAAACAAAAACAAAACCTTAGACCCTGACATCAAATTGTTCATTAGCAGAGGGAAGCAATGGGGCCAGATAGGGAATAGCGGAAGATAACTAGAACATTGGTGGTGGGAGAGGCATGGTATAGACATTTCCTGAGGTGTGAAGTTGTGCTTTTAAACAAATGAACATTGTACACCAGTGGTCCATTTTATACACACACACTAATGTTTTTTTTATTTCAAAGATTATTATTTAGAGCAAACACCATAATGTATTGTAAAAGGGTATAAAATATGTGTAAATAAACTGTATTAAAGTAACCACACTGATGGGTGGGAGAAATGTAAGAGCATTGCCGTTGGGTCTGATATTATATGTGTGGTTGTGTCAACTTACTTGAATGTAATGTGGGTAAGTTAATGGTGCATACTGTCAACCCCACAGCAAACACTGAAACAAATCCAAGGTTTAGCCAGTATGCCGGCGTTAAAATGGAATCTAAGACTTTCTCAATTAATCCAAAAGAAGGCCAAATAAAAGGGAAAAAGAAACAAAGAACAGATGGGACAGAAAAAAAAATAAATGATTGATTCATATCCAACCACACCAGTGATTATAGTACATGTGAATGCACAAAACACTTCAATAAGAGGGAGAAATTGTCAAACTAGAGATTAAAGCAAGATGTAATTATGTGCTGTTTATAAGAAACTCACTTTGAATTCAATGTGTGTTGATGTTTATTTTTGTGTTGTGTCAGTGAAAAAGTGTTTACCAGACAAATTGAAAATGGGAGAAAGTTTGAACTGCTCAAATAATAAGCTCTTCAGTAATTCTGGACTAGTGCTATTTCTCCCAAGAATTTATGTGATTGTTTGAATTTTCTAGAGTAAGTCTTAGGGCTAGAGCAGGATTATACTTTCTTAGCCATCATTCTGTCAGTATGCAAATAAAATTTCTTAGGCTTTCATAACTTTAGCAAAAATTCCATAATTCCTCTGTTTTCATGAATAATTCCATAATTTCCTCTGTTTTATTATCTAGGACTGTTTTGGGTGAAACATTACTTAATCTTTCAGAGAAAAATGTTTTTACTTTTTGAGAATAATTAAGGTATATTAATATAAAGAAGAATACAGTTAAAATGGTTTTCTTTTCTTAACTCTGAAAAATAATATAGTCTGTTCCCTCCATCAAATAAATTACTCTTGAAAGTGGAATGAATTGAAATTCACATCTGAACTCTGAGAAAATCATGTAGATTCCAATTCATGTATTTAAGGTTCCTTCCTCGGTATATATGACATTTTAAAAAGTATGAAAATGCATCATAGTATGAAAATAAGCCCTCTATAAAATAGAAATCTTTCTGGAGAGATGGTCTTCAAGGCATGTGAACCATCCTCATGTTGCAGGTGATACGAAAAGGAGAAGTGAGCTGCTGCTGGATTTGCACGGCCTGCAAAGAGAACGAATTCGTGCAAGATGAGTTCACCTGCAAAGCGTGTGACTTGGGCTGGTGGCCCAATGCAGACCTGACAGGTAGGTGCTGCCTCATGTATCACCTGGTGCCTGGCTATTAGCCTTTGCAATGTGTCAAGCATTTAAAATGTGAGTGACAAAAATTGTTTATAGTGTGTGTTTTTTAATGCTCATGTCAAAGTATACTCATAAACCTCTTATAAGTTCTCCATAATCTATAGTGAAAGGAAAATTCCTTTAAGCCTAAATAAAAACATGTATCAAAGGGTATTCTGGTACATACCAGCCTTTTCTGTTTTTTTCTTTTGAATATATTTCTAGTCACCTGAGTTTATATTTGTGTTTCTTCACCAGCTGTGTGTAAGGCACTCGCACAGGCCCTAAAGGTACAAAGATAAATGAAACACTGTCCCAGTTTTATTTTGCTTAAAATATACTAAGGAAGAATCGTGAAAAAATGACATGAAATAATTACTCATACTAAGGAAGTATTTATAAGTGCTGTAAGGTTTGTTAGGCAGACGAGAGGATGAAAGAAATTCCAGAGAGAACGTAGAACATGGGAAACACATAGCCTGTAAACATGGGAACATGTTGGTGGGGCTGGTTGGTGGCCAGAGGACCTGGTGGAGCAGCGGTCAGAGTGGGACTTGGTGAGTGGACTGGCAGTGGATAGTAAACAGCATTTGCATGATCTTTTCTCAAGTGCTTGCCCGTCAGGTACAAGCACAGGCAGCCCAATGAAGGATTTAAGGTAGTGGGCAGGGCTTCCCTGGTGGTGCAGGGGTAAAGTCTCAGCACTATCAAGCTATCGTAGGCCACTGTAGCGTGAGTTCGATCCTCCACCAGGAAGTTGACCCACATGGTGCAGCAGACCTCTCCTGTCTCACCCGCTGCTCCCCTCTGCAGTGTATTTCAGTACATCTGCCTGTTCTGCTCCCCACTCTGTCTCTGGTGAATCCTCTCACTCCGCCCCCACCCCTCGCACCTCTGGCCTACACCCCAGTTCTTTTATGCATAAATAAATAAATTAAATAAATTAAAAAAAAAAATAAAGTGGTGGACAGCACCCTGATATCCCAGAAAGATTCTCCCTGGTGGGAGCGTGGAGGAGTATAGTGAGACCGGATGAAAAAATAGAGGTTAGGAAGCTGTTGCTTTGGTTCCAGTGAGTAATTTCAAAGGGCGTGTGAGGACTCAGGTACCACAGCAGGGCTGTACAGGAATAAGTGAAAGCAGGAGGGGTGGGTGGGGTGGAGATGAGGGTTGACTGAGCTTTGGTGGTGGCTGTGGTGAGACCTATACGGGGCTGAGGTGTGAAACTGTCCACCTAACACCTATCCAGTGTGGTAAATTAGTGTTAGCTCAATAAAAACAGGTAAGGAGATGATTCACTAGTAAAATCTAGGGGAATCATCTGGAAGATTATATGAGTTGATGAGGATCCTAGAGCAAAGTTCAGGAAGATAAACTTTGTTTCCCACGGGCCAAAATAGGATCTCACACAGGAGAGGAGTGTCACAAGTACTTCTGCCAAATTTGAAGAGTCAGGGATACTTGGAAACTTTTCAGCTGGGCTTTCTGATTTCTCACGTTAAAAAGAGGAAGCTGAGGCCCAAACAGGTCTTGGATTTCCAAGGTCATCAGCAACTTAGGAGCAGAACCCTGTTCACTGCTTTTTCACCCTCTTGAGTGTGCCTGCGGGGTGCTGTTGAAAATCATCAGAAAGAGTAACTTCCTGAATGACTAATAACTTTTTCATTTGTTCTGAATAAGAATATAAAATTAAGAAATTGTGAGGCTTATCAAAGCACATCAAAAGTGGCTAGGTAAGTAGAACAAGGTCACAATATTATGTATGAAGTGAGAATCCCTTTTGAAATATTAGCCCTGTTAGAAAAAATAAACTGAGTCACAAAAAACTTTAGGAAATCACCTAGTACAAGGGCCTTTTTTTGAAGAAAAGGAAATTAGGCCAGAATATATTTGAGGATACAAACTTTATTTCACTCGTCTTTTTATTCTCCAGCTGGAAACTGGTTTTCAAACCTCAATGTGTCTAAAATTTAAGTATCTGCAGAGGCCTATTCATTAATTTCTGAGATGGAAACCAGAAGCCCTGAGGCACTTAGCCCTCCCTACAAAGCCCATCCTTCAAAATACACTGCCCTCTGGCTCCTAACCTGGTGCCATGAAAGGATACCTGCCTGCTAAGTGTCTGTTCTGTTGAGAGAATTAGAAAGAAGGAACTCATCCAACTTCATTTGGTCAATGCACTTGATTATTAGAGAAGCCACTGGATTCAATTCTCAGATGGATCTTCTAAATTTTAAAAATATAAACTACAAACTAATTTAAACCATTTTTCTCTGTTTCAATATTTACTGTGACTGCTGATTCTACCTACTCTTAGTTTTACAATATACACTATTGCTTACTTTATGCAAGGCATTTTTTAAGGCACTGGGACATGCAGGTGAGTAAAGCAAGGCCTCTATCCCAAAAGAAGAGTATCCAAAGAAGTAACACTTATTTATACACTCAATTATAATATTAAGTCCTACAATGGAGGTATGTGCAAAATGCCAAATGAAAAAATTATTTTTTCCCTGGAAAGAGAAAATCCTTCACCAAAGAAGGAACATGTGTGTTGAAGATTGTGTAATAAATAGAATTTCACCTTGTAGGTAATTGATAAAAATGTAATTACATTAAACATTTCCATAAAGCCTTTCATAATCCTGAAGTTTTATGGCAAGTTTTATGAATGACTCCAAGTAAAATGACACTTTAAATAGAATAATTGTGTCCTTTATTTATATCTTAATTCACATTAAGTTTGTTTTTCTCTAATTTGGTTTTGGATAGTTCTCTGTTGTCACTGAAGAGCCTGGTATACACATAGGGAAGAGAATCCAGTATCCTCACAAGGGATAAAACAATCAGTACTGTTGTAGGTAGATTGTTTCACAGTGTCATTATGACAAACTGCTGCTGTTACAACATTAGAATACTTATATCCCCTTGTAACATAGGAATTTTTAAAATATTTTTCTTCATCCTATAAGACAGGATTAGCTTATAGCTACACTTAGACGACTCTGTGATTATCTATGGTCATGTCTGAGTATCTGTCTTTGACTCCTGACCACATTAAGAGCACTGAGATTCACAGAATGCATTTTAAAGTTTGAAACTCCACCATGACAACCAGAGTTTGTTTACTGATGGATTTTACCTGGTATAGTTTATGAGAGTATCTGCCTTGGTGATATGACTTGAAGGTCACAAGAAGACTTAATTGGGAACTTTTGCCTGACCTGTCTCAGAACCAGTATTCATTGTGCAAATCTTGGTGGTTTAATACTCAGATAAAGATGTCTTTATAATCCTAAGGACCATAAAGGGCTTGCACCTGAATATATCTTCCCCTCTTGGTGCTTACCTACACTGTCTTTATTTTACTGTACTATACCTTCTGCCCTTAAATAAAACCATGTATAGGTGTATGTTCTACAATTCTTCCAAATGCTTTGAAATATTTGAATGTGTGAAATCTTTGCATGTATGAGTAGATCATTATGAGCAAATTTCGTGTAACATACCTTTATATTATTTCTTAAATTGACTCTCTTCTATGAATTGTAGCTTGATATATCAGAACTTGAATTACTGAGTTAGTGATGCCTGTCTCTGGTAAAACTTAGGCTTGGGCAAGCTCTTATCACTAGTAAGAAGAGCATTAAAAAAAAAAAAAAAAACTCAGATGCGTATAGCTTTACATCAGTAAAGAAGAAAAGTGTGAATAAGCAAGGGTAGACAAAGAAGGGTTCTACATATTCAAAAACCTTCTGATGATGATTTTGTGCAGGAGACCATTACATAGTTGCCAGTTTGCTCGCAGGTAATTGGGGTAGCAGCCAAATTCAGTGGACTTTCCACTTCTGGACAGTCTCTATAGGTTCTCTGCAGAACCTCAGTTAAACATCATGAATGGTTATAAAACATTCAATAATATTAAAGTTTCTTCTCATGTGTCCAAAGGTTTGAGTTGCGAAAGACATGTGTGCATCATTTAAATCCACAAGTCAATATTCTAGTGAAAATGTGCCCATCTCACTGGATTGATAACATGAAACTTTCTAACTAAGAAACACAAAATCTGATTGTATTTTTAGCCATTGTGAATATTTTGGCTTTTCAACAGGGAATGCTTCAACCCATCCAGAAAATTAAACACACTATTTAAGCTTGCACATATTCATGAACCATACAGGGGACAAGTGTATACAATCCATTTGCAGTTGCTTAAAGGGTCCTTTTGCAATTATTGACACAATTGCAAATTGAAAATTGTTTCACTGTTCACCTTTATCATTTATTCAGATTAATTTCAATTATAAAATTTCCAATTTAATTACAATTGAAGCATGAACTGGTCAAATCTGCTATCCTGGAAATGTTTTCCCATTAATATTTAATTTTTCCCTGCTGGAATAAGTTCATTTATTTTTTCATTAGGATTTTATCCAGTGTCTATTGGATGTTTTATCTGGTGCTACCAGACAGCCATTCTGGTTTTGTTCAATATTATCCTTACAGATCTTACAACACAATCATTCTGGCATTTCTTTCAAGAATCTTTTTATGACCAGGCTTTGTGTATATAAAATTGAATCCTTGAACAAATCCATTAAATTGTTGTTATTAATAAAGTATGTGTTGTTTTATAAGAGACCCTGTGTAAGGATTTTTAATTAAAGCAGTCTGTTTAGCAAGATCAGCCTAAAATATTTTTATTATATTTCTAATATGTACTTATTGCATTGTTAGCTTTTATGGTACCTTTTTACTGCAAGTCTCAACCCATGATAAAGTCATTTTACCTAAGATCAGTACATCAAAAAATTAATAGTACTATTAATTTCCAGAATATGAAAACTTTAAAAACCATTCTATATCATGTTAAACAAGGCAATTAGTTTAAAAGAAGTTTTACTCTTTTGAAAATTGACCTGCTACACAGAAGGCCACAGTTCAGTAAAAAGGAAAATTAGTAAGTAATAAGTAGTTACAGTAATAAGTAGTTTCCTCCTGAATGATAGCTACTGTGGGTTATAGGGCTTTTTAAGTGACATGTCTTTTGGCAGTATGTGCAAGTTTTCTTATCTATAGACTCTGAAATCATTTTTTTAATATTTTTTTAAAGTTATTTATTTATTTTTAAAGATTTCTTTCTTTCTTTATTTATACAAGCACTGGGTACAGTCAGAAGTGCGGGAGGGTGAGAGAATTCAAGCCAGCGCGGGGAGCAGAGCAGGCAGAAGGACAGAAGTACACTGCTGAGGGGAGCAGCAGGCGGCAGGAGAGGTCTGCACGCCATGCGGGACCTTCCTCCGGTGGCCAGGGAGCAGCCGGGGATCGAACTGGCGCTGCAGAGGCTGCGGGCAGCTTCGCAACCCAGCGCTCAACCACTGCGCCACCGGGGAGGCCCTGAAATCATTTTAAAATGGACTTTCTAAGTTGGTTTCCTTAAAGATCCATAATTATGTTGATATCTACTTAGCTCACATTTTAAGTCTATCTGGACTTAACCAGTGACATGCTAATGTTTTCTAAGTTCATAACTTTACACTTTAACGTTTTTTTCTGTTTGATTCCATAATTCAAGTCAGAGCCCATTTACAGAAAGAGAGTCTATACTTCTGGGTATGCCAACTATTGAGTCTACCCCAGAATTGTTTGAAGGTTTCCTAAAGACTATCATCCATATTTACATAGTTTATAATTCTGAATCTTTATTACAATGAAAGCTTCTGAAATTGCCTTATTTAATGCATTTTACATTTTTGTATTTTAAATCATATCACACAGGGTTATTTAAATCTTCTCTTTTCTAATCTAATGTTTTTAAACATTTTTCTCCCATGAGGCTAACAATTAATTGAATTAATTGGTACCTATCTGTTGCATAGGACAACAATTATCTAATATTTATCTAATAAATATCTTGGATTCTGCAGATAATAGTTTGTATCTCTGAAATTTAGGAAAATCCTTAACTATAGCTCTTAATTTGGCTCGGGGCCAGAGTTTCAATGCAACTTTTATAGAACTGTGTTCTAGAAATTTAAAATGTAGTATGGTATCATTTTCTAATGAAAACTCTGAGGACATAATAGCTCATTTATAAAATCAGGTAAAGTTGCATAGAAAAAGAGAGGATTGCAAAGAAATTAGCTTTTAAAAGGTTACCAAGTCCTTGACAATTACTACATTGGAATCGGAATTTTGTTTAGCAGCCTCATTCTGACAATGAAAGGAGTTATTTAGTATTGTATCTCCTAATTTATCTAGATTTCCTCTTAAATACTCTAATTTATTGATTTTGTCATATCAAAAGTCCCTCACCATCGTCATTGTTTTTTCTTTCTGCCTTTCTAAGTATTTATCCATCTTTCTGAAATTTATCAAGGAAATGAGAAGATTTAGAATTAAAATGTGACTTTCTATAGGAAGAAGTTCTTTCAGAAGAAGTTGAGACTTTGAAACAGACAAACATTTCCTGAGAGAGCGTGCATACATTGTGGGCACTGTCCTCAGTGCATTGTGGGCACTGTCTGAAATGAAGAGTGTGTGCTTGTGAGGGGTTGGCACTAGCTTATTAAATAGGAGTCAGTTCCTGACTGGATGATTATCAAAAGCATAGGCTGACACGGATTGGTTGGCATGCAAAAACATGCTCACTGAGAAGAGCTGTTGTTGATTGACTGAACAGGGTTTGGGGAGGCTTAAGTCAGTTTACCTTGGCTACAATCAAGAAACCTTTTCCTAAATTTATGAAAATATTTTTATTTTCACAATTGGAGAAATACCTGCCCTAACCAAACACAAAATCCCATGAAGGAATTGTCTACAGAGACTGAAAAAAAAGTATCTCTCTGAAATTCAAACTGGACTTTGTTTCCTGTATCTCGAAGGACGAGATAAGCCAAGCATTTAAGGACACAACACAGCCTGTCCTTTCAGGAGATGGGTGAGGGGAGATGTCAGTCAGCCCTGGCATGTCTATTGGAGACTGACAGCCTGAAGGATGTCAGATGCCACATCCTGATTATACACAATTAAATGGGTGAATTTCAGGTAACACAATGTTAAAAAATGATTTAATCATCTTTCTGATGTTTATCAAGGAAATGAGAAAATTTAGGATTAAAATGTGACTTTCTATAAGAAGTACAGATTTTTTCTTGGTAAACAGGAGAATGAAGATTTTTCTAAAAAATCAAGTGAAATTTATGTTTAAAGCACTCTGCTGATCAAAAAAAAAAAAAAAAAACAAACCTTGTCCATGAGCTAGACAATAGCAACATAAAAATAAAAAAAAGTTGAGTCATTTCTTATACATATTTTATTATCAACACTTAACCTTTATTAGAAGCCCAAATTAACTGCCTTCTTTTCCCTTCTCTTCTGAAAATATAAAATCAAGTTCCACCCACTGTGTGACATCCATTTATAATACCAGTGTTAGAAGAAAAAATTCCATAGGCTCAAGTCTAAACTTTCATCACATTACACTTATGATGACATTAAATTTGGGAACATGATTGTCCAGAGAAGAGAGTGGTACCTCTTTATTGTGTGATAGTGGGGCATTTTTTTAGAAAACATTTAAATAACATGAATCGCAAGAAATATAAATGCAGCTATGCCTTTGGTAACTAGTAAGCACTGTTGTTACTGATAAGTGGAACTATTGGATTCATTTTAAGACGGTTTTTCTCATCACAGGCTGTGAACCTATACCTGTTCGCTATCTCGAGTGGAGCAACATAGAATCCATCATAGCCATTGCCTTTTCCTGCCTGGGCATCCTTGTCACCTTGTTTGTCACTCTCATCTTTGTACTTTACCGAGACACCCCAGTGGTCAAGTCCTCCAGCCGCGAGCTCTGCTACATCATCCTAGCTGGCATCTTCCTTGGTTATGTGTGCCCTTTCACGCTCATTGCCAAACCTACCACCACATCCTGCTACCTCCAGCGCCTCCTGGTTGGCCTCTCCTCTGCCATGTGCTACTCTGCTTTGGTGACCAAAACCAACCGCATTGCACGCATCCTGGCAGGCAGCAAGAAGAAGATCTGTACACGGAAGCCCAGGTTCATGAGCGCCTGGGCCCAGGTGATCATTGCCTCCATTCTGATTAGTGTGCAGCTAACCCTGGTGGTAACGCTGATCATCATGGAGCCCCCCATGCCCATTCTGTCCTACCCAAGTATCAAGGAGGTCTACCTTATCTGCAATACCAGCAACCTGGGCGTGGTGGCCCCCGTGGGCTACAATGGACTCCTCATCATGAGTTGTACCTACTATGCCTTCAAGACCCGCAATGTGCCCGCTAACTTCAACGAGGCCAAATACATCGCCTTCACCATGTACACCACCTGCATCATCTGGCTGGCTTTTGTGCCCATTTACTTTGGGAGCAACTACAAGATCATCACTACCTGCTTTGCAGTGAGCCTCAGTGTAACGGTGGCCCTGGGGTGCATGTTCACGCCCAAGATGTACATCATCATTGCCAAGCCCGAGAGGAATGTCCGCAGTGCCTTCACCACCTCTGATGTCGTGCGCATGCACGTCGGCGATGGCAAGCTGCCCTGCCGCTCCAACACCTTCCTCAACATCTTCCGGAGAAAGAAGCCCGGGGCAGGGAACGCCAAGTGAGTTATCTGGCCTGGTCTCTCCCTCTTTCCTTCCCAGCCCGCTTCTCCCCTTACCCCCACCCTTTCCTTCTATTGTCTAAATCTTTTTCTTCCACTTCCCCAATATTTTTTCATTCTTAATCACTTCTTTCTTTCAAATCACACAGATTTTTTTTTTTTTTTGCAGTAGGAGTGTAGTGCTAAAGGTCTGTGTTTCCATTCCTTTGAAAACACAAGGAACATGAAGCAACAATCAGCTAAGTGTATTCTTATTCCAAACTAAAAACAGTAGCTTCTGTCCTAGTATATGTTGCCTTTGGTGTGGGTCCTCCCTCCAGGCAGCATCACACATCTCTGAGATCTGGGTCAGAGAGGCTGACTCTAGCTCTAGTTTCTAGCTGAAGCCGTGGTTGACAGTGGTTTCTGATTTCCTTTCTGATTTATCACTCTGGAACCATAGCAATACTAATGTGTGATGGAGAATGAAATGAAGCATCTGGAGATATTTGACTATTTGGCTCTTTGATTGCAAATGAAAACCAAGTATGTCCTCAAATAAGTTTCCTTAAGTAACTGTTGCCATGACCCTCTTATCATTGACCTTTCATGAGGCTTGTAATAAAGAGATTCCATAATGCTACCAATAACTGAACCATGTCTACGGCAGGTCATGATCAGCATGATTTTCTGGTCATAAAGCACCCAAAAGAAATAAGGAACCAGATCATGATGATGAGGCCCAAACTTGAGCCGGTCTTAACATCAAAGTTCAGATTATTTTCAGTCTGTAATTCTTTGGAATAGTTTGGGTAATAAATTCTTTTCTATTTTCTTCCTCTCTTTTTGCATAGAGGCATATGTTCAAATTGCCATGTGTGATCTTTTTTCTCTAACAAATTTCACATAAACTTTACAATTTGAAAAATGACCTGGATGCTTCAATTTCTAAAGTTAATTGAATTATCGAAAATTAAGCAATTTCTCTCTTAGCAGTGTTAATGTTACTTTTTGAAAATATCCTTCTAAAGTGAAGAATTTTAATAGTAATGATTGTAGCATATACATTGTTCCACCCACCAGAACAAGGCAGCAAGGTATGGGGGAATGGATCTATTTTCCCCGACTTTGTAGGTGTGGAAACGAAGCCACCTTATGATTCTTAACTGTAATTCTACTTAGTTAGCCATTCTTTGCCTAGGTCTTAAAATGACATACATTTCTCATCATGATATATATTATTAAATCTATAAACATAAACCTCTGGGTTATATAACTTCTTGCCAAGTGGCACCTTGGACATATTTTACTAAAATTGTATAATTAATTTAAGTATCTGTTAAGGGAAAGTATGGGAAAATATTTTAAATTCCACAGAATATTATTTTAAATGACATACCTAATTTTTTCCAGCATTATGGATGAAGTCAGTAATTTATATCTACTGCTTGCTCTATCATTTTCAAGTCCTCCATAAGGTGCTAATCACTAAAGTTACTTAGTCTTATTTTTCTCTGCCATGACTTTTCATGCCAGCCAACACTTGCTTAGCATCAGCCTGCTGGCAGGAATTATCAGCAAGCATAAAAGCAAAACAACAGTTCCACCAGACAGGAAAAAAATAGACCATGGCCACAGAGTCCAGATGTGAAATGGCATAGCAATTTTCATTAAGAAGGAGGGAATGTTCAGAAACAACGTGAAAAGGGAGGAAACACTCTTTAAAATGGGATATTGGTACAGACTAAGAGCTTTCCTTTTTCACAACCCATATGGTTTTATAAAGGTTCCATTCCAGTTCCATCCTGCCATGACCCAGCTCCATGTTTCTGTAACTTTCCTGCTTTTATTATGGTTCTTCAGAAACATTGGTATCATTGTTGGCTGTGGTCATTTCTAAAAGCTGTTAATCATTTAACTAAAGCAGAATTTGAAACATTTAATGAAAAGAGAGAACTTATGTGATCAAGATATGTTGTGTTTTTATCCAGGAATATGCATTTTTGCAACCTCTGATGTTGTGTGTAGACAGGCCTGGGCACCAGTTGGGGAAAGGCAGTGACTAGTGGGCAGTGCACTGGCTTTGGCTGCTGGGATAAGCTGACATTGCTTAACAATGCTTAGCACTTCTATAGAAGCCAGGCAAAGCTGATCACCTTCTCACACCTGGAACTGCTTTCTTTCTGAGCTGAGAAAATTCCCTTAACTCTTATGAATGTAGAAATTAATTTCATTTGGGATCATGCTTTTGAAAAGAAAAATCATCTTGGTCTAAACTGGATTGGTTGCCCAGGAAGTGCTAGTTTCTCCAGTTAACTCATTGCTTAACTACTAAGGATGTTATTTATCAAGCACTATCAGATTATTACAGTAAGAAATAAACTTCTAATTAATAATTATAGCATGCATTATTATTTGTACAATCTGGAATTTCTCCTGGGTGTACCACACAGCTGACCCTAGAGGGTTTTTGAAGCTCAACTTCTGTGGAAAAACCACCCTTCATTTATTTTCCCATTTATTCTGTTATTGCTTCTCTTGTTCATCTTCAGCAGACTGGAATTTTCAAATATAACAGTAATCTCACTCTGTATGTTTTCACCTTTGTGGTTTTGTTTTGTGTTTTCCTGGTTTCCCTCTAAAAACCACAAACAAGGTAATATTTCTATAGTAACAAAAACTTAGCAAGAGTTTTGCTGAGTGAAGCAAGGTCTGCAAACTCTGGAGAGCATACACTCCAGTCAGTTACCATCCTGGAGTCTGTTGCCATCCTGGATGAATTTCAGCGAGGGTCTGCGCATGTAGCTATAAACCAGAGCAGATGCTGTAATGACGAGCTTGCCACTGACTGATCTCATGGAATATTGTTCTGAGGAGCTGCAGGTCCGACTCTAGTCTCATCACAGGCTGTTTCTGAGATACACAGGAAGAAAGGTGTTGTGTACCTGTTTTTGAAAAATTTATAGCGTTTTAAAAATTTATTCACAGCCAAGTGTGTCTTAAGCAACCAAAAATTTGGGCGCTTGCTTTGTGTTTTCTGAAATGTATTTTAGGAGGTTAAGCAATAACTTGGATGTTTGGGTTACTTGAGTTATTTGTAGTTAGAAATTCTTATTAAGCATAATTCTACTCTGGAATGATACAACTGTCTTTGTCATCACTGACTTTTTTAGCTGTTAATTTAATGTATTTGAATGGGAGAATATTCATGCCTAAGCTACTATAAAAATATTAGTAAAATAATTTTTCTTGGCAATAGAAGAAACATGGAAATCCATATATATCCATATATAAGTAAATTGTCTAGATCCAAAGCAATTGTCTAGATCCAAAAAAAAAAATTTTTAAGAAAAATGAGTTAACATTATGCAAATGAAAAATTAAAATATTATGTAAATGACATGCTTCCTTAAAAAAAATGTTATATCAATGACTAAATGTCAAACTAACATTTTTAGTTATTTTCAGGATAAATAACCTCAGTGAGTGCCAAAAAAATTTGATGGCACATGGAGTTGAAATGTGATAATACATTCCTATAACCTTTTGCATGTATAACCACATGCAAAACTAAAAACAATTACAATCACAGTGAGGGTGTTATATTTATGCATAGCAGTCATTTTCAAACATAGATTCCAAAGTAAGGAGAGTATTTTTATGTTCCTGTGAGTGTTTCTTAAGCATTTAAACATACATTTTATTGAGTGTCAGAACTACGTGAAATACTAAATGAAACAAAATTATGAAGAAAGTTTCCTCTTGATCTGTTGAGACACTTTTTGTTTCTAAGTGGAAGTAAATAAGCCTGCAGCATTAGTCACAATGAGCTGAGCAAGCATTTAATTTGTCTTTCCTCCTTTGTTATGAAAGGAAATCTAAAAATATGATAGACAGGCTACAGACATCATAATCAAGTAGAGATAACACACACTTTTTCATAGAAAGGTCTTATCTGCTATTCTAGCTTATAAATGAAAAAACTGTCATTTTTAAATTATGTTCTTTTTTCATACAGTAAAAGGCTTTAAAAATTATTATAATTCTTCACTCAATTTTAAAGTATCAGAAGATTTTACTGAAGTACTTGCCACAGAATTTTACTATTTGATAGTAACATTTCTGTTACTATCCACTGTTCTTTCATTCATTTACTCCATCAGTCATTGTTTCAATTGCAAGGTACTTGATATGAGTGCTAGATATTTTTCAGGATAAAAATATGTGAGGCAGGCACTGGCTGCACCAATCTTAAAATAGAGCAATGGAGATGCTCAAAAATATATCTAAATAAACTGTGTTAGATAGCGTACTAGAGGACCAGTGTTATATTTTGAGTGCCCGAGGAACAGAGAGATTATATGTAATAGAGTAGTATTGGTAGAAAGATAGAGAAAGATTTCTTAATAAAAGTAGCATTTGAACTTGACCTTAAAGAATGTTATTCAGTGGGAGAAACTGTGCTATGCTGAGACCATTTCCAATATAGAAAATAATGTAAATGAAGTTCAGAAATGTTAATGCATTTTCAGGACATAATAAGAAATCTGAATGAGGTAAATGGAGAAGTGTACTGATGGGTAAATTTAAAAATGCAGAAAAAGGACAAATTATAGATAATGATCAATGTTCCAAAAAGACCAGTCAGGTTTTCAGGTGCAATAAAACTTTATACTTCACAACAGTGTGTAAGCTTAATGGGACTAGGTTGAGGATAGAGCAGTTAATAGAGGCTACAGTCATCCAAATAAAGGGTTGGATAAAGCCAAACCAATAACAAACCCTAGAAATCTGGCTGTAGAGCTGAGGCTGCCAGAGGAAGGAAAGAGTGATAAGATCAGAGGGTACAATGGACTATGGTGGAGGACTATGGGTGTCTTTGTATTGGGTGTGATGTGGTGGCAACACCTGTAGGAGATGACCTTACATCTCTGAATTATATGCAGTGTTGTAAACCAGTGTTATCTCAATTTAAAAAGGGGGGAAATAAAATAAAAATAAAGTTTTAGAGTAGTGAAGTG